ACCGAGCCAATCTCGCGTACGTATATAAAGAGTTGCGCAATTCACCTGCACGAGTAAGTACACGAAATTCGTGATTTGTCGTCTTTTTTCAAAAAATTACCTCCCGGCTCTTGTTACCTCGTTTTTCGCCGCATTCCTCCTCCATCCCACCCCGTGCATACGCTGCCGCTACCAGCATTCCTGAACGTAATTTGATAACACAATTTCATCCGATGGCTCGTTCGACGTCGTTACTTATACACTCGAGCACATAGCAGCGTGCACAATTTAATTAACCATATATACGAAGGAAAAACCCTCCGAGCTTATCGCGGCGAAACTTTGTACGTGTGTATATACGAGCGCGACCAGAAATGCATTAGTCCGCGGAAAATATGACTCCACGTCGTCGTCATCATCGAGTTTTTTTTTTTTTTTCCAACAGATACGCGTACGTGACTATCCACCGAGCAAAAAGTGAGAACGTAAAAAGAGAGAGAGAAAAAAAATTGAGGCTGCCAGTGGCAGTACAGTCGGTCCGAGAGTATGGGGTAGGGGGGATATTCGCACGAGCAGGGCGACTGTAGACACACGAACTTTGCACTCCGACGCGGCTAAAAGCTCAAGCTCCGGGGGAGGAGTCGAGGGCCACGTATCGAGTTTTATACGCTTCCCCCCCTCCTTTGTTTTTTCGCTTCCTCCCTTCCGCGCGCGAGGGCATTTCCCCGGCCGATTCGCTGTGTACACTTTTTCGCTCGTCACTTTGCCGATTCGACCTCCGACGGAACGACCGTTGCTTTTTTTTTTTTTTTTACAAGCGTAGAGGTGTTTGCCTATTTATCATTTACCGGCAACCTGTTTTTTACTTTTTCAATCGAAGAGAGGGGGTGTCGCGGGAGCGTCCAATCAATCGAATGACCAGAAGGTACGGGGGCCCATCCCGCTAATTGGGCAATCGGCGCGACGCAGTCGAGCACTCCGACGCGAAAATTAGAGACAAGGGACAGCTCGTTTCCGTCCCCCCTCCTCCTCCTCTCCGTAACAACAACGGGGCGTATAGAGGGTACGCGCGCACACTTGTGGGAGAGACAGTCGCGAAATTCCACTCGGCCGTCCGGGAGTTATTATCTACCGGAACGTGTATGTACGGACGGGGCGACGGAAAACAGGGTGTTGGTCGGGCCTTTGGAGTTCTCGTTTTGATTGCGCGATGCCCTCGCTCGAGCGCTCGCGCATATGTATTTCCAATATGTAATTTTAACATACGATAATAACAACGACCATTTTCATGCATACCGAGAAACGAGGTTTAATGGTTAAAGTTTTTACCTGGAATCGTGTGAGTATACATGTATATATATATTTTCAGGTATTTACCACCCATTACCGGTATACCTTTCAATCGCTCCGCTCGATTGGTCACAATTACAGAATGCCGCGTTGCAAGTGTGATGACTTATTTTATCGCACGGGAGCTATTGCCGTAACACCCAAGTGCATTGATCGAGAATAAATTGTACACGCCAGGAGGTATAAAAAGTATGTGTACGTGTGCACGCTGATCGAAATATTTCATACATTTTAATTTGATAGTGTTCGGCGGAAAAAAGGGGTGACCAATAAACGCTCACCGGTAATTTTTTCAACGGAATCGAGCAAATTCCACAACGCGTGTGTGGCGGTAAAAATATGAAACTTAACTTTGTGCTTCGATTCGTCGTAGGAATCAAGTACTTACTCACGCGTAAAATGACATGCTCTGCAGTGCGTACGTATAATTTTTACCGGATACTTTATACTCTGTGTGGGGTGCAAGAATAAAAGATTTCCGGAATCACTCCGGAGCTGCACAATTTTTTTTTTTTTTTGGTATATGTACGTACTTACATATATCCTTCAATTTGGTGTTGAGAATTTCCGTGGCATTTCATTCAATTCGCCTGAAATATATATGTGTCCGTAATGATATCTATTTATTATATATACACTACATAGCTTTGACACAAAAAAAAAAAAAATATCAAGTGATTTTCACTTGCGTTACAAAACACACGCGTAAAGCCCCGCAATCGAGTATCTTCGTGGATTAATTGCGTGGCATGAAAAGTTTTATTGCCGGTTTGCGCTGCAATGGCAACGAGTTTTGGAACCAATCCACAAATCATGGCACTAAAGGTTCTCGATGTATAATATATATTGCGCCACTCGTGTTACCGGCCACACATGTACACGAGTAAACTATCTTTAGTGTCAATAAATTAAGTCAATAGATCGATTTGAATTCATGCATCTGTGCATTATATAAATGTATATACAAGTACATTTCTCAAGGGAGAGAGGCGAGCGTGCACGTGTATACGTATATATAATATGAGCGGGTATGAAATTTGATCTCCTTGCAGCTAGCCAGGTAACAATTGCTCCACTTTCACATTCCATTATTCCGGTTTTAACTAGCATATTTTTTTCTTTTTTTTTTTTTTTTCCTTCGGGGCTCTATCTTTGACAATGTTCGTGGCTGAGTTTGTTGCTAAACTCAAAGTTCTCGAGGATAGGATTAACCACGCACGTTCCAACCTTAACTGTCTAAATCTGCGATAAATTGATTTTCGGGGATCGATGTAAGTTACCGAGAACGGGCCAATAATGGTAAAAAAATCGTCACCCTCCTAATCATAGCTATACCGTTAACGGCACGATCTAACAACACACGTCTAATTTTGTACCAATGGTTATTTCCCGTATGTACACATTACGTGCATGCAGAATAGTTTGCCCTTCTCTCCCCCTTTGCCGATAACTAAATGACATTAGGGGGTTGTGGCATGTTTGACGAGCTGCGGCACGTATACCCAATAGGGTAATGATGCTTTATTTCATTTCCCAACAAATTCGTGACATGTTATACGTGTGTATCCAAACTTGTCATAAATTCACATTTGCGACTCTATGCATCCAGCCAGTGCCGATTCGTTTCGACGAATATGCACCGTCTCAATGACGCCGAAGCCGAAAGTACACCCTACAAGTGCCTTTGGTCGTCCGATGGGTACGAGGATGGCTTCGGTGCAAGCGTCGCACAGTGGGGGGGAGGTGGCTCTCGCGAGAATTCACGGGAAAATTAAAACCAATTGCGAGAAATTTATCCGATCTGGCGTGTGATCGCACGCGACAATGGAAAATCGATGCGGTAACTCGATTACCCTTAGCTTCGATTTTTTTAATCATCACCACTCACTTTCTATTGCAATCACGTAAAAATGTACCTCCCGTTTTGTTCGCCACTGTAAGGGCATGTATAACGTCAATCATCGATCCGTCCCTCGCTATAACTTTGTAGCCAGTGGATTCTCGAACGTCAATTTAGCGTCTGATTTTCCATGTCGATGGTACACTTTCTCCCTCGAGGAAAAAGAAAAAGATGGGAAAAAACGCGAGTGCGACGCATAACATGTACACGCCATTGAAAAGTCGACGTTTCCGACGACGCGAGTCGAGACGGCCTTATTCTTCGCGCGTCGGTCTCCTATATACATATAACGTGAGGTGGAGAACGAAAGAATGAAGGGGCGCTGAAACATACGTACACCGCGTCGATACCCGCGACGCGTATATATACACACCACAAATACGAACCGCGAAGCCATTCGTGTACGTGTGATTCTCAAAGTTCATTCGCGTCCGATCCCTCCCCCTCCCGATCTCCTCTACAGTATACATCCGATGTTTCTCGCTCTTTTGTTTTTTACGCTGCAGGTGTCGAGCTGTCCTCTCAGTGTTTTTTTTTTTTTTCTTACTTTTTTTATTTCCCCGTCTCCCAGTCACGTCTTCGTAGACCCGTAGCTTCTCTGCCTCTGCCCGTCGAAAGTTTCTAAAGGTATTTTTCGTACTGTACGAGTGTCTTTCGACCTGTTCGGTGAGTATATGAATTTGACGCAATTCATCTTGCCTTTTCAGAGCAACTGGAACATGTATAATACGTACACGTTTACACGGTGAGACCACGAGCTCGGAGAGTTTCGTATAAACCAAGTTACGAGCATCCGTGCTTGTACGTTACATATATACCCACACGAGGGGAAATCAATTTGGCAAAGTACTTACAAGGGCGTCGGTCTTACCGCGTCTGGCTGACTCTACTGGCTGCCCGTTTTTTTTTTTTTTTTTCATCTCGCAGCCGTACGTAGCTCTCTTACGGTTGTTTGCTGTTAGTAGAGATGTTTTTCACGCATTTTTCGTTTTCAAATTTCAGAATGAGTATCATAAAAAAAAAAAGAGCTCACGGGCACAAAATAATACACAGGTACTCATCTCCCAAAAGTGACACCGTCGAGGTGATCCATCGATCGGCAACTATCTCGGGTCCAAAATGACGAGTCCACGAAATCACAGAGCCCCGGTCAATCGACTCGGAAAAGAAAATCGATGATCTCCTGATCGTCCTCCTGATCCTTCGGTAGCAGCGCAAAATGCCTGAGCATCGGTGGGAGACAAAAGCACCAGTCGCGAGAGAGCAAGAGCCGCACATCCATACACGCATAATGCGCTCACGCACAGGCGGCCAGGAGGAGGGGTTGGTTCGAAAACCACCCTCAACTCATATATAGTGTGTGTGTGTGGGGGGGGGATGGTACATACATATATTATATGGTACAGCGGCAACGAGGGTGGAAAAGAGTGGGAGGCGGCAGGAACGGCTCTCTCGGTCGATCTCTCGGCGTTACCCAGGTAACCTCCCCCCCTCCCTCTTCCTGCCAGTCCGGTGACACACGCACACGCGGTGTATACACACACACACGGCGTGGTATAGCGGGAGTCGAGCAGGGCGCCATCTAACCGGCAGAGAACGGTCTCTTTGGGACGATGATGCACCCCGCGGAGGCCTCCGTTATACACACACTCGCGGACTGCACGGAGCGCACGTAGGTGTGCGGCGTGCAAGTGGTGGGTGATGTACGGTGGTGGAGGACGTTCTCTCTCCCGAGCGGCGGCGGCGCGCAAGGTGCCTGTGTGTCCGAGGCCCCGGCAGTGGCCGCCCGACTCCGCGCCAGTGTACTGTGGAGATGCGCGCGCGTCGCATCGCCCGCACCTAACTAACCCAAGTGCCGAGTGCGCGCGTGCCGAGCTTGTAATTGTTCTTTTTTAAATTCTTTGCTCGTTTGTTTTCGATAAAAAAAAAATAAAAAAAAATAAAATAAAATTCACGTCACACGCGTACCAAACGAAACGAGAAAACGGGGCGAGAGGGAGGGGAAAAAAAAAAGTTTGCCTCCTGCTGCCCCTCCCGCTGGAAGCTCGGGGGTGTGTATGCTGTACACATACATCTCCGGCCGACCAACCCTCTTCGGCTGTGCATGTAGTGCGACTCTACTCTACTATACCGCGTACATCATTACGCGAGTGATGTTTAGTGCTCAAATTGTTGTTGCCAGTGTGTGATTGTTGTTGTTTGTTTGTTTGTGACGCCGACAAAGAAAAAAAAAAAAAAGTGATCAGCTACCGTGCGGAGGCTGGCCTCCCTTTCCTCGAGCTGCCGGAGAGGAAGTGCGCGCGAGAGGATCACACACACGGTACGGCCAAAGTCTTCTTACGTCTCGCTTACCAACTTTGGCCCCTGGTTTTCGGGGAACTCGCACAGGGAGGGAGCTGTGCGTCAGGGTTTCTCGAGACTTGCGAAAAAAAACAAAAAAAAAAAAGTTAATAGGTACGGTAATGGGGGATGGGATGGATGTTGCGCGTGCGTGTCTACCTCGTACGCGCACGGGTTGGAAGTAGGTCGGTGGTATGTTTTTTTTTTTATTTTTTTTTTATAGCCCATCCTCAAAAGTAGGCTCCGAAGGGGCTGTATATACACGTACAGGACGGACAATTTTTGCGTTTCAAAGGCAAGCAGATTTGAAATTCAGCGAGTCCGTTGCAGTCTCGGGGTGGATCGATAGAGTGATGGATCCAAAAAAAGCTCGCCCCATCGATCCGACGTGGAGCATTAAATGAGCCCGGAGCCGCGGATTCGCGACAAACCTCCCGGTTTGGCCTCTTCGCCATGGAAACGGGGTCAAACCGATACAATTTTGACGACCCTACGAGTAAACACGGTGTTTCTACACGCGATTACCGACTCGTCGCCCCTATCATACCTTCCTCTTTGTTTTTTTTTTTTTTTTGTTTCCTTGAGGAGTACAATCCAACGTTACGCGCGTCCGCCCCCAAAGGGTGGGTATCTCAGGTGTGCGGGAGAGCCGCCCAACGACCCACCCTCCCTTCCCGGCTTTCCTCCTGACAACGAGACCGAGCCAACTACGTGCCGTTGTTTCAAAACAAGTTTGCCGCAATTTTCCAACATTGATGCACCTAAATGACTCCCGTCTTGATTAATCATTTGAAGGAACGGGGGGTAGCCTCGTGAATCTAAACGAGAAAGTACACACTCGACGAAAATTGGGTATCGTTTCCCAACCGGGGGGGGGGGGAGAGCTCGCAAATCTCGGCGTTAAAAGTGTCGTCGTGCACGCGGAAGAGACTCTCTCCCCTCGGGCGAAAATGTAACCCAGGGAGCCGTGTCGGGGCACGCGGGGCACCCTCCTGTATGCACGTTAGGGCGAACGAAACTTCCCTGCCTAAGACGTTTCCCCGTGTAGGTACATAGGTGGTGTCCGTGTATGTCGTTGCAAAAACGAGCAAGTGTGCATAGTGGGTCCGGAGTTTGTGCGGGTAACTAAATTTCCCGTCGATAAATTCCAACGGAGGGAGGGGGGGGGAGAGATTGCGTTTAAGGGGGATATAACCTAGCGTGGGCGCTCTCTTTTAGGGTTGACTCCCCCCCGCGACGACCGAGCCCTGAAAGAAGCCGAAGGGGATCGGTGTAAGCGTTACTTTCGCGCGTTACAATTTCTTTCCTCCGTTGCTGGTGCTGTCGTCCCCTATACGCTGTACAGGAGCAGCCCCGCGCCTACTTATCTTTTTTTTTTTTTTCTCCATTTGGAACTTTTACTCGAAGCTTTTCTGTTTCTCGGAGCTTCCACTGTGTACGGATAGATTGTACGCCAAGTCGGGGGTGCAGGGCGCCGCGCATGCGTTCCGACTCCCTTGGCTTGCCCTCGCAACCCCCACATACACGCACCCTCTCTCCTTTTCGTTCTTCAATGGATCGTGTGGTGAATTGATCGAGGCCTACTGCTGGTTTTGCATGCCCGGCATGATGACGCACGAAAATTACACCAATAGTATTGTGTTACACGTATATGTCCTGGAAATATATTTTTTTTTGTTTATCCGTAGAGTCGCGTCGTTTGAAGAACTCACGGGACAGTGTATTAAGTAATTATAAAAAAAAAAGGTTAATTCAAAGTATCCTTGTACAAAGAACAACATCGTCGTAATTGCACCTGTTTTTACGCGCAAAATCACGTAACGATGCACGACCAACAGTCATTTTCCAATTACTCATCCGACCCCCCCCCTCCCTCGCCGCTGAAACTGCTAATGCGGAGTGTGTTATTGCGCGCGTGTATTATACGTACATGGATTGAAGTACTCGTATTCGCTCCGAGCCGATGCAGAGGTTGCGCCCCCTCTAGCCAAAATCAGGCAACATTTCTTGCATGTAAACAAACGGTTTAGAACATATATACATACGTACAGCTGCTTGTGATTGGCACTTGGCAAGCTAGAGAGAGAACGACGATCCTCTCCTGCTGTCTTATTCAGCCAATCACAAGCAGCTATACGCATGTATATATGTTCTAAACCGTTTGTTTACATGCAAGAAATGTTGCCTGATTTTGGCTAGAGGGGGCGCAACCTCTGTATCGGCTCGGAGCGAATAGCTCATTGGTTTATTCGTACACAAGAGATGTTTGCATCATCCTTTCGCACGAATGAAATCCCCATTTATACAAAATTCACAACTCTGTTATTAGTATAGCGTTGGATTGGAAAATAAAGTCCCCCTAAAATTGACAATCCGTCGTCGTCGCCTTCCATTTCCATCGCTTGGTATCTAAGAGAGAGAATTGAAACACATTTTATTTATGCCAAGGATAAAATACTGAATGGCAAAAGCATATAAATTTTAGAATAAAGAGAGAGAGAGAGAGAGAGAGAGAGAGACACAGTGGAGGTAAACTCACGTGAAAAGAAAAGGAGAGCAGACACCCTTAGCCATATAGATCGAGAGCTCGTCTTTTAATTGAAACGCGATGCTCCTTTTTTTTTTTACTGTTATCGCAACAATGTATCACACTTGGTAAGTTTCCGCGCAAAATGAGGTTTTCCCGGTTATTTTTGCGCACTGATGCAATGTACATTTCTTTTGCAAATAAACCAGTGCGTCGCATGAGGTCACCCTCGCAAACGGCAAATACGCAACGCTCATCGATGATTCTCGAGTTGTGTATTGTGTCAATCGACACCGAGTTGTACAGTGCATCGCACGGTTTCCCGAAACCCCCGGCAACAATGCCAAGTGGACGCACCGATGCCTCGCGACATGAAAACACGCGCGATTCGTACAAACACGCGGTATAAGTACCTAATCTAAAATATACACACGCACAAGTGACTACTATTGTCGATACTATTGTGGTATAGCGCAGCCTTTTTTCTCTCTCTCTTTCTCTCCACGGCGACAACAAAAGGGAGAGCCTCCACTCGACTCATACAGCTCATTACAATTTACGCGTGTATTTATCTTCCAAACGCACTAGCACACAATGCGAAAGCCCACACTATACGCCTCCTCTCCGCGGAAATCTTTTTACCAGCGCACACACACACACACACATGCCTCCCAATGTCCTTTTGTCTTTTGGCGGCAAATCAGAGCCGACTGCGCGCACTTCTGTGCATAGGTACACACATATATACACGAGCAAGGAAGCATTAGCCGAGTGGCTCGGGGGTTGCGACGCGCAAGCGATTCGTTAGAGAGTCCCTGCGAGGGTGTGTGTATATACACCAACTTCTGCTCCACGCGTTACTTTCCTTCGTCCTTTTATCGCGTAGGTATATGTATTACATACACGATCGAGGGACACGGGGTGAACGAACCCCCTGCTCTTCTCTCTCGCGTAATCGCGTACACGCACTGGTAATGTAAAAATTACATTAAACGCCGAACCCCACCCTGCCTCTCCCGATCATTCCGAAGCGATGACCTTGTTTTTATTTATCTGGGCGCGTACCAACACTCCCTCGGATCGATACCCTTATACAGATGATTTGCACTTTTTGCTCCCCCCGTAGATGTCGGGGTGGGGCGTATACGTTCGGAAAAATTGTACACTCGAGTTGGGCGTATTTTCTAAAACTTTTCCGTCCACGAAACAAATCCCGTATAGTTTGCTCGCGAGTGGAAACGTGTCGGCGGATATGTGGCGGGTGAATTTCCCTTCGGGGGGGTAAAGCTCGGCTGAGCTTGCGATACGTCAAGCAGCTGGGGGAGACGGATGTGCGTGGTGTGTATATATACAAACTCGGCCTCGATGCCGGAGGGGAAGGGGGGGATGAATCCGGGAGTCGCGGAGCGTGAAACCACCGGCGGAGAACCGCGAAATAAAAATCCCCGTAATAGTCATATTTCTCTTGCTCGGGCTCGAGAAATCTAGGCAAGAGTGGATGGATTTTCTCTTCTCTCTTTGGTGATCCTCCCTGTCATTCCGTCTCTCTTCTCCTCGGGAATGCGGAGGATCACGCCATCCGATACTTCATTAGATATTTATTCTCCAAAGGCACCTCTGCTCGTCAAAATCGATTAATCAACACTTTGCCACTCGCAAGCACCAATTCTTGTACGCGCGTGTACAAACGCTCGCTCCTTTTCCGCGCGATGCTCTCGTGTGCACACTATACAAATGGATACACGCGCGCGCCCATTTTTCCTTCTATTTCTCAGGCCTCTCGTTCTCCTTCCTTCACTTCCTTCTACGTTTGTATGTACAGAGGCGAGTTCTTCCTTCCCTGCGAGTAAGTACCTTATATGTATATATATATATATATATATAGCTCCCGAGAGCATTGCCACGCACTTTCCCCCGCCGCAACGCGCCGAGGAGATTACATTGCGACGTATACATCTGCGTGCATGCTTGGACGTGCGTGTCCATCGCCGGAGATACTTACGCTGCCACCGATGATTGTAGCTATTCGAGTTATTGATAGGTAAGGGTATACGTATATGAGGGAAGCGAGTGACGGGCTCATCGAACGGGGAAGTGAGTGCGAAGGTATTTTACGTTGCACACACGTTGTCTTTTAATGCATAACACACAGACAATACAGAGTAAAACGGTACTTGCAATCTTTTTTTTTTTTTTTTTTCTTCGCGAAGAAAAATCGGGTCGACGACAAAAATACACAAACCCATCTTCCTAGGGTTGCATAACAGCCGAGGGAATCAACTCGAGTGGAGAAGGAGAGGAAGAAGGAAAGAGCACACCACCGCCACTGTATACTTTCACTATATATGAGAATATATACATGTATATATACACGTACACTTACAGGTAACTGTCGTTGGCGCCTTAAAAGCCTTTCGCAGTCGGCGATTTGTAAATACCTACTTACCGCAAAT